GTGCAAAAAGTGCTGTGCAAAAGTGCTGTGCAAAAAGTGCTGTGCAAAACGCCATGAGATAAAGCCAGGCGGGGTGGGCTGTGCAAAATGCTCTGTGCAAAGATGTGCTGAGTACAACTGCGTGCTGGAAAAGGCCACGCAAAGAAGGGCTGTGCAAAAGGCAGCACTGAAAACAGCAGGGGAAGCGCTGTGAAAGCAGCCTGCAAAAAGAGGCTTTGCTGACGTGCTGTGCAAAGTATGTGAAGCACCATGGGAAGGAAGTTCACCTGGTGCAAAATCTGTGCAAGGAAAGGCTGTGCAAGACATGATGGAGAAATGTGCAAAGATGCGCCATGCAAGGATGCGCCGTGCAAAAATGGACTGTGCAAAGAATGTGCTGTGCAAAAATGCAGCATGCGAAAAAATGAGTAATGCAAAAATATGTTGTGCAAAAATGCGTTGTGCAAAAGATCCGCTGTGGAAAGGTGCGCCATGGGGAAAAAATGCACAATGAAAGAAACGCTCCTTGCAAAGGTGTGTCGTGCAAAGACGCTCTGTGCAAAGATGCACCACGCAGGCATTTCCCATGCGGTGTGCTGTGCAGCGATCCGTGCAGTGCTGCGCTGCAAAGGTCTGCACCCACCCCTGCACCCAGAGGTCCGAGGGCAGGCAGGCGCCGCAGGGACAGCAGCGCGTTGACGTTGCGCGACACCTCCTCGGGGTTGAGGGGCTCCCGCAGCAGCGGGGGGGGGTCAGGCTCAGCCGCCTGCAGCTCAGGGTGCGCCTGCAGGTAACAGAGCTGGAAGGAGCGGCACAGCAGCAGGTGCAGCACGTGCACCTGCAGGGAGAGAGGGGAGAGAGTCAGATCGATAACGCAGAAGTGATTGAAGCGTTCAGGGGTGGGAGGGTAGGAGCAGGCAGGCACCTCGCCCGGGGGGCCCACAAAGAGGTGGCAGAACAGTGAGCTGGGGGGGCTGCGAGGGTTGCGGGCCACGAAGGCGAACTGGCGCTCGGCGTGCAGGCAGGTGCTGTACAGGATGCGGCGCAGCGCGTGCGCCATCAGCAGCATCTGCAGCGACAGCGGGGCCTGGCTGGGACCGTGGTGTGAGCAGAGCCCGGCCCGAGCCTGGCTGCAAATGCTCATCTGCAAAGCGGGCAGCTGCGCTCTGAGTGCTGCAGATCCCCCAGAGCACATCTTCAAAGTGGCATCCGGCACCCTGTGCATCACATCGCACATTGCACCCAGCACCCACCTCCCCGTCGGCTCCGTAGACCTTCAGTCCCTGCAAGCTGAACCTGAGCACCACAGGCTTCCTCCTGGGGCAATCCTGGCAGGGACACGGGGTGGTGGTGGGGTCCCCCGCTGCCATCTGGCGTTCCCCCACCAGCCGTGGGGATTTGAGGGCAATGGGGATGGCCCACCTGCAGTGCCCGCAGCTGCTCCTCCAGCTGCCCTGCGTGCTGCTGCAGCTCCATCTCCTCCAGCATGAAGGAACCCACGTACTGGGGGGGCGACAATCCCATCCTGCTTCAGCAGCCCCCCATGGGGTTCCCCAACGACAAGGGGATGCGGCACTGTGGGTCACACCTGCACCCCAATGGCCTCACCTCTGCTGCCTTGGCGATGCCCCGGCTACGAGGGGGTGGTGGTGCCGGATCCGGCCCCCTCCCGTTGGCTGTCATCTTCTTCTTCATGGCAGCAGCTTCCTAAATCCTTACCCCAATGCAGAGGTCCCAAAATCCTCGCCCCGATGCAGAAGTTCCCAAATCCTGACCCCATCACAGAAGTTCCCAGATCTTTACCCCAGTAAAGGCTCCTGGCTCCCAACTGCAACCTCACCCCAAGCACCGTGCGAGGGTCCCCACGGCCCAGCCTCAGTGCAAGGGTTGGGATCCAGGAGCATTGTGCAAGTGTCCCCAAATGCAGACCCTGCCCCCCAGTGCAAAGTCCCCATGTCCCAAACTCATCACCACATCACCATAACAGGGTTTTCTCATCCTCTGCCCCTAAGCTCCGTGCAGGGCTCCCACGTCCCAAGCATGACGCAGGCACCCACATCCTGATCCACCTGTGATGTCAGGGGTCCCTACACCCTGACTCCAAATAAGATGCATGCGGCCCAAATGAAACCCAAGCAAGATCCACAGGTACCCAAATCCTGACCCCAGGCTGGGATCCCTGCACCTTGGGGGTGGCAGCATCTCGTGGCAGGGGAAGGGGAGAGGTTAGCGGTAAGGATGGGCCTCAAAGGGGCTTTGGGGCTGAGACCCGTGCAACTCGTGACACCGCTGGCTGCAAAAAACACGGGTTGGGGGTCCAGGCACATCCCGGGTGGGCGCGGGCTCAGGGCTGCCCCATCCATTCCGGCACCGTTCGGGGGTCTTTCCCCCACCCCCAGCCAATCCGCAGGCAGGCAGCCCCCAAGCCCCGCCCCCTTTTTCCCACGCTCCATTTCTCAATGGGGCCCCCCAGCCCACCGCCACCGCCACCCCGCAGCTCCCCCAGGGAAGGATGCTGACCCCGAGAGAAGCTCGCCCACCACAGCGGGCCCCGTTCCCCCGCTCACGGGCAGCTCCAGAGAAACGCAGGCGAAATCCTCCGGTTCTCGGCCTCAGTCCGGCGCTTTCGTTCCCTGGGGGCTCCGCCGGGCGCGACGCAGGGATGCTCCGCAGGGATGCTCTGCCCTGCTGTCAGGCCCCCGCTGCACGCCAGGCCCCGCCAAGCGCGAGCCCACGGCGGGCACGGGGCATGCAGCGAACTCCTATTTCCTGCCTCCGATCTGCCCGCGATGAATCACTGCAATTTACCTCCCCGTTTTCTCCGTCTCTTGGAAGCGACGGCGAGCAGAAAGGCTCGGGCTTTTTGGAAAACGCAGCTGCAACCCGTTGCTTTTTTTTTTTTTTCTCCTTTCCTTTGAGAAGCCGAGCCCTCTCCCCACTGCACACACGTGGCTGCACGCTCACCACCCCTGCCCTCCTCACCCCAATTCCCGCCTTGCCCCCTGTCATCCGTCCACTCTGCTTTTGGTCACGTAGTCATATAGAAACAACGGGGATGGCTCCTGCAAAGAAAGGGATGCAGTCATATGTAAAGCCAACGCCACATCCCAAAAACTCCCAAGTTGTGCCCCAAAACCTCAGTGTTGCGCCCCCGCATACCTACATTACGTCCCCCAAACCCAAAGACACGTGCTCAAATCCTAACATTGTGCCAGGAAAACCCAAAAACGCTCTGGCTGGGAGCACACAGCAGCTGCCCACAGCCAAAGACACTTGTGAAGGGAAGGCAACGCACTGGGGAGAAGGCGCAGTCCCAGCCTTTGGAGGCGCCTCTAAAAACCCCAGCGCCAGCCTCGGTGCACCCAAGGGTGTAAGGAAAAGGGCTGCCACCAATGCTGAGTGCTTTGAGACACCATTGAGTGCCCTGGTGGAGCCAGCAGCATTGAAAGAGGAAAGAAAGGAAAAGAAGGACAGATGGGAGCGAGGGAACAACACAACAGAGCCCGTCTGGGCAGGAAGCAGGCTGGGGACACACCGCAGAGCTAGCACAAAGCTTCCCAAAGAGAGCTGCTGCTTTCTCCCGGTGCCCCACTATGCTGTGCTGCAGGCTGAGCTCCCCATCCAGCCCCAGTGGAAAGCAGTTGCTGCTCCAGGCTGCCCTGGGAAGGCAGGTGGCCCAACCAGCAAAAAAAGCCACAACTAAAGAGTTTGGAGGTGACCAATGGCAGCTTTTAGCACAACCTTGGCAGCAAAATTAAATTGCACTTGGGTGCAAAGGATCAGAGCTGTGCAGGTGATTCAGCAGGTATTTTTTGGGTTGCTGGGGTGGAAATGTTACCCCAAAGAGGGAGTAGAGAGGTGCTGCAGGACAGCAGCTGGGAGGAGGACCCCATAGCCCCACAAGCATCTTAGAGAGAAGGTTTTATTCAGATCTGCCTTGGAGGAAACCACCACCAAAACCCCGTTTCAGTATGCAGCAGCAGGAGTCACTGACCAAAGTTAAGTGCTTTACAGCCCCCTGGGTCACTTGAGTGCCTTCCCTCTGTTTCATGTCAGCCACAGCTTTCATGAGCCTGCTCTCTGCATCCTTGCTCCAGGGCTGAGAGCAATGGAGGACATTTCTGTAAGAGCTTTTTAAACTCCCTGTTATTGGAGGCAGCACACTGAGGCCGCACCTGAAAAGGGTGAACAGAGTAAGGAGGCTTTTCCATTTTGCACTCATTTCTGAAGGCACTTCCACTGCCCCCAGTGTGGCAGATGCAAAGCTCTTCCCAAAAGCACGTTAAGCAAAGAGCTCATGCTTGAATCACTCACGTTGCCCCATTCAAGGGAAGTCCAGGATGCTCTGCTGCCAGCAGCGTATTCCTAACAAAGGCTTGCCTCTGCGGAGCACACTCACTGCAATTCTCTCCTCCCTGGGCTTCCAGGAGAAAGCTGTGGCGAGGAAGGTAAAGGACACACAGAGCAGGCCCGGAATCTTGTTTCATTTTATTTTAGCAAACTGCATGTTCCTCACTTATCAACATCTCTACATTAGCAACTGTATAGCTTTCCAACTTTTCTTTTTAAAAAAGGGTAAACAAGAAGTGACAAAACTTAGGCTCTTCATCTCTTAAAAACATTTGAAAGTTGGATTCAAGAAGAATTTTATATATTTTGGTTTCAAGGTAACAGAAGTAGCATGGAAACACTAATTCAAATCACCCGCCCAAGAACCACCCCTTCTAGAGCCCCTCTGGTGTCAGATGCTCGGTAACGCGGCAGCCTCTGCTGACTGAAGACCTGGACCCACTCTCCCACTTACTGAAAAAGCCACACACCCCCCTCGACCTGCCAGCATCACAGCTGAGCAAAAGGAGCACCTCCAGGACTCAGTGCAAGTGCTGTATAGATACACTGCTCCTTCACAGAAGCAGGAAGGACCTCATCATGCAGGGGATCTAAGGAGGACTCCAGTGCCGTCGTACCTTCTCAATTAAGAACCATACTTCCCCCAATCACCATGTTCCTGCTGCCTGGAAATACAAATAACTTCTTTGAAGAATTTTTAAACGCTGCCCTCCCCTCAAACCCAAGAAAAACACCATAAAATGTACAGATTACAGGTCCTAGAAAAGTCTTAAGATTATTGTAGAAACTAAAGATGACTTGTTCCAGGGGAGGGGTAGGCACAAGGCACAGCACTGAGATCTAACAAATGCTTAGGTTGTTTGATTTAGTTTTCAGCTTTTTCCCCCCATCATTCAAGAAGGAAAAAAAAAAAAAAAGTGTTTAAGCATCAGAACTAAAATACAAATGCACGTTGACTTTATAAAACAAGATTGTGGATTTGATCGTGGGATCCCCTGACAGTGGAAATATTTACTTTTTTGCCCGGAGAGATTTCCTCATGGCAGATTTGCCCTTGGCAGAAGGTTTCACCTCCTTCCTCCCGCTAGCTGCTGGTTTCTTGGAAGAGCTGCCACCAGAGGGTTTCTTGATGACAGGGGCTGCTGGTTTGGCTTTCTTTGCAGGGGTTTTCACCTTGGGTGGGGGCTTCGCTTTCCCCCGGCGGGCTGCAGGGGTCTTTCTGGGCTTGGGCTTGGATTCTCTTCGCTTCATCGGAGGAGCCCTGCTCCGTGACTTTGGAGGAGGTCTCTTCTGAATCCTGTCAGAAAGGCGGCACAAGATCTCAGCAGAGGCGCAAACGCGACTCAGAGCAGAGCTGCTGTCATCAATTTACATAAATGAAACAGATCTTGGCATCTCTGCTCTTTACCACGGATGTTCCTTCATGCAGCAGTACATTTCATTAGCCAAATCCCACAGAGCAAGGAGCCCTGCGGTGGACCTTGCCGCGCCACGCGCTTCTCCATCCCCCAAGATCTCAGTGGCAGAGCACTGGCTCCTCTGTTAGACTGCTTGCCATTATTTGTCTGTTTACATGCCTAAGTCGATTGCCAGAACAATCCAGCGAGCTGAGGATTCTCTCTGCCTCTCTGACGGTGATTTTATTATTATTCAAACACTCATCTTAAACCCCCATTCTGAGTGAGACAGGTTTCCTGTCCGGCTACAGAACTGCAGACGATACCGTAGGAAAAAGTTTTCCTGAGGAAACAACAAGTCCAAGCAGTGCCACACGGAGCGCCACTCTTTTGTAGAGCACAAAAGGCACCGAGGAGATTAAAGGCACCACAGAGAACAAGTATTTCTCTCATCTAGAGGAATTCCAGCTATGGAGTGACAGATTATCATCTGTGGAACAGAGCATTGCTTCTGCAGACACATCCTGGAGAAGTCCTGATCCTAACAGCTCCCCCAGGAGTTCAGAAAACTACTGGAAAATAAAGTTCCTAATATCTCCTGAGTGGCAGCTTGTGGGTCAGCAGCCACAGCAAAACACTCTACAGCTCCAACTGTCACTTCTAATTCATCCAAAGGAGCCCATTTCTCTCTTTTGCTACCATACCTCTTCTTTGGTGGTGGCTCTTCCTCCTCAGACTCCTCATCTTCAGATTCTTCTTCCTCCTCAGATTCCTCCTCTTCTTCCTCATCAGATTCTTCGGAGTCCTCATCCTGCTGCTTCTCTGGGTAGAGCACATCTGGGCTACAAGAGAATTCTTGTCAGAGCACAACTTACTTCTAAGGCCTTGGCCAACCCTAATTGCTCCTTCTGTGCAAACAATGGAAGAACAAGATCAGACTCCAGTGCTCTGAATGCAGGCCAGAGCTACTGAGGACTTCACACATACACGACAAAAGAAGGTGGTAAGCAGAAGCATTAATTACTGCGTTGCCATGCGGCTCTTCGTGGGACACGAAGTCACCATCCCAGGACTCCCTGCGGCCCAGCACAACATACACTCACAGCAGCAGAGAAAAGGCTGCTTTCAGTCTCATGGTGGCCAACCTAGGCCAGCTTCCCTCCTCCTACCTCTCCTCCACATCAGCACCACGAAAGACCAGGCCCTCTCGTTATCAGCACCCCTGCATTAAACACAACACACTCCACCTGCTCATGCTAATTTGTTTTAGCATGGAAACACTTCAATAGCTACTATCTTGGAAAAAAACAAAGCACAGAACCATCATGACAGAGTACGTGAGAGCATTTAGCCTAGTATTTTCACTGCCCTTAAGTCTCCCTTCTAATGAAGTCAGCTTTATGTCCACTCACAGTCAGACACCAAGTAATGTCATCACCTAGAGCAAGACAGGTGACAATGCTGTGGTTTTTCAGTTATTAAACCCTCCAAAGACTTCCCTATAAGCAGGAGGTTGGCCTACGAACTTCAGCAATGCTCTCTGGCTGACCCATCTTTGACATCATTTCACAGCCAAGCCCTTTACCTAGGGTAATAAGGGAAGCAAAGCTGAAAGGTTCCACTGAAGCCCTTT